CAATTTTTACGGTTGCATGACACATGCGCGGAACCAGCTTCATCAACAGGTCGATCAGTTACATGGTAAAGCATTTTGGTGCTTAAAAGCCACCAACATGGCATGAGACCCCTCGTACAGTGAGAAAAAGATTTTGAATGGGCGCGCAGCTTGGGAGCTAGATAGCACCGACTGGAGACAAGAACGAAGCCAGAGAATGCAATACTAGTGTTTACATAGTTGTTGTTGAGACGTTTGCGCTGCTATTTTTTAACTTGGTCAAAACTTATCGTGCTTACTAATGCCATAGCAACGTTTCCACTCAAAGCAAGCTGGTCAGAAACAGCTGAATGACCTAACTTTAAAACCTCGTTTCTAAAAGGAAACCTGCAAGGAACTTAGAAGAACCCGTCAATCCGATGATCGTCCCTAAGATGCTCGGCCCAAAGATCAATTACTACCTCCCTCGGAAAATGAAAGTCCATGCAAATGTTTTGTGAAGTGTACAAACACAGAATCTGTGTCATGGGGTCAATCGGAGTGAATTTAGTACGATTGATATAGGGTTGATATTTGGTAAACGGAAAAAATGAAACTTTTCTAGATATGTAAATATACTTCGATGTCGGAAAGATTGAGGAACGAAGTTGATGGCGTAGTGCTTTTTTCATCAGTAAAAGCGTGGAAAATTTATGGCATCGAACAGCCTCCCTTAAATGATGCAAGTATAGCGGACTAAACTGAGTATTTAAAAAATCTTAAATATCACAGTCATCTTTTGAGTAGTTAATTTGTTATGCAAGTTGAAAAAAACCTTTCAATGTAAGTTGCCGGTTCAGAAGAGGTATTTCGCTCAGGATGTGGTCGGACACCGTATCTATACACTAACGTTATTTTAGTCTATGCACGATAAATATGGTCATAGTAAAAAATGCTGTTAAAGTATTTGTGTCCTATATAGAGTTTAACAAATGTTCTTCGAAAAAAGTCAAAACTCTTCGTAAACAGTCAAAGAGTGGCAACGCCCCCCTTTCAGACCGCGTATAAAACTCGGCACTTTACCTTTATCTGCTTGTCCGTATTTTGAATCCACTACTTATATATACGGTTTTGACATTAAATTAAGTGACCGTATAACTAGACTTTTTTACGCTAAGTAACACACTATCGCATTTGGAGCACCTTGTGACAAAGCAAGTAATGCGCAGATACTCAGTTCAGTAACTCTACACGATTATAAACTGATTGCGCAGAGGTTACTTGTCAATTCCTTCTGAAAGCTTACTTTTTTCGTGTGGATTCACTTGCGGTAGGCCACCTGTGTCAAAGTTGTACAAAACAACAAGGCATATTTTACCTTCCATAAATGACAAGGCTCGCCCATGGTCAGCAAGGAAATTAAACTGGCGAATGACGACGTAATCTAGTGGAGTATTACTCACTTTATGCGTCTATGCACCATATCCACACCTACCACGTTCCCCTAAGAAGGAGACTGCGTGGGCTGGATGCGGACATGCGCACCGTGAGGGACATTGTTAATCAGTTCTTCTTTCACACAACAGCGGAGCAGGTAGGGTCGAACCGTAAATTGCTGTCCCGTTTTTACTGCGGTCGGTGGCCCCTAGCTGTAAACTTGGCCTAGCGGTTAATTTGCTGGACAAATGGGGTCAGATGAAACTTCAGAGCTCTGACACCTATTCAGTCAGGAACCATGGGCGTATTCATATGCCTTCTTTAAGAGCAGTTGAAATCCCTTAAATGTCAACCCTCTTTTGCAAGTACATATGCCCGAAATATGCATTAGTGAAACGCATTATCTTCCAAAAATGTTGAATTATTTGCTTAAAAGTGTTTGTTTCTACCGGAAAACTGCTGAATAATAAACCCAGCCAACACACCACTTCTGCTGCTGCTGTATGACCAGGTGTTTAGCTTGTAAACCCAAAAAGTCATGTCACAGTCATCCACATTCCACATCCTGCACTTGATAATTTCGCAATTAGCTGTATTATTTTCCTCAGTTATAATTGCTAGCATTAATTCTGTAGTCGGTCAACTAATGGATATAATTAGTCTTAAAAATATCTGACTGGCTTGTAACACGTGACTTGTTGAATTTAGCGCATAATAAGACATTCTGTTTTGCTTACGTTGAAACATCTCACTACTTAAATATCGATAAGGTTTAAGCTCTATCGTTACATGCAAGAGCGATGGCTTCTGCGTTAGTACTTTGAAAGCGTTAGATAAAAAGTCAGAAAAAACCGAAACTGGATTTGACATTAAGTATCATATACGATTTCATGCTGTATCCTATAGGACAATTTCGGACCACTCTAGCAATAAAATTCCATTGGACGATGCGGAAGCATGATTCTTATAACGGCATAATTGTTGAAAAATTGTTTAATTGGCGGCAGGCGAATTCATAGTTTTACTCTATCGTATTGGAAAACATTTTCATCAACAAACAATGTTCTACGACGTGCAGTATTTCCATTTGTACACATTCAGTGCGCTAAAATTTTGAATTTTGCCGACTCGTCGTAAGGCTAACTCATTGGCTACTTGCTGTTAGCAAATTCTCTTGTCGGCAGATCAAACGATGAGGGTATCTAAAAGAATCCGGCGATCTTATAATTAGCTTTCCAATTCCGTAGTGTTCTTTGTCCGGCTTTCACTCATTAAAAAAGTACTAGCGCACAACGAACATTCGGCTAACACCTGTAGCGAAGATATCTAAAACTCAGATAGTCCAGACTAATTGGATGTTGGGTGTGTTTCTTCTGAATTAAATTAAACATCCTTAATAGTAGGAGTTATTCGAATCACTGTCGATTCGCGTACGTAAACGTTTGTATTGCTGGTAAAACATAAACTGTTTCGAAAAGTTAAGTTTATGGCTTTCTTGGGAGACAGGTTTAGTTAATATAGGTGTATCAAACTTTGGAAAGGAATATTTTGTCAGGATACTTTATAGATATTGAGCAGTAATGGGGTCACTTATACAAAATGAATAAAACTCCCAATTTCTGGAAAGTTTTTGCGTATTGCATGCAGCGTATGTGATGCTAAATTTCACTTGTATTTTCTTCCAAAACACCTTAGAGAAAATAATGATTTTTAATGAAATGTGTTTGTTCAAATTATTTTCTGATACGATATTTAAAAAGTTCTATAAAATCCAAAACGAAATACGGGGCAAATGTGTGTAACAAAACCAAAGTATGCTAAAAATATGAGGTTTTCATTGTCCACATCAGTCTAAACACTTCAGAATTGCATTAAAATATAGGCTTTTGTATATACACATATAGGGAAAGGTAATTATTTCCCCCCAGTAATAGATAATGAGATGATAACTATATTTTGATGCGTATAGAAAAAAGGTTGCTATTATTTTGTGAAAGTGTGGACGCCTTAAATAAAAACAAAATGCTCGTGGGAACGTACATTTACATCTTAACACCACGAACGGAAGAGTATTTCTCATATTTTTCTGGAATTAATGCCGATCTAAACGCGAATTTCTGTCAATCCGTGAAGAAAATTCTAATATTAAGTCACTCCATAAAAACGAAATCAGTCATTCGCAAGAGTTCGGAGGCAATAACCATAGTGCAATAATTACAATAATTTAACCTCTCCGAAATCAGTGGAAATGGCTAGAATGAAACTTAATTGTAAGTTAAGCACAAACTAATAAAGCTGGCATGCGCTTATGCCTGTAGCCACAGGAGCGACTTTTTACGAAAGGTTATGAATTCCAATGACTGTTTTATGAGTTTACAAATGCATTCTCATTCTCCATTCTTAAATGCAAACAGCTTGAAAGCGGCAATTTCCAGTCATGGACCTGATGCTCTTTGAGAAACAGATATTTTCGTGGAAGGCCGCCCAATTCACGCAACTGACAAAACATGAGCAAGCTTAGACAAACTGACAGTTTACTCTGCCTTTGTTGCGAATACGGTTTTTATCAGGGCTTATTTACCTCAGTTCACCTAGGTCAATTTACGGGCATCCTGTTTATAGTTGTCATGTCAGTTACTGCGAGAATTATTTGAGCTTCAGGACTTTGTTCCACGTAACGCAAAATTCCTAGAACCATTGCCCAACAGGAATGCAGGCAATCAAACGAGAGATATTGACCTATCTGCTTCTTCCGCACAATTTTAATGTCGGCTTACTCAGTGCAGCTACTAAAAATAAATTAAGCGAGAGGGTGGGATAAAAAAGAAAGTAAATTATGCACAGTATGGACATAGCTGACTGTTTGGTATCATGGCCGTCAGTGTGTGCTATCCTACTTAGACAAGACAAAATACGAATATTTAATGCATTTATTTAATAAAAGACAACTTAGATATTCCTTCTTCACTTTACTTTGTTTTATGGTTCTTGAGCGTCCGTTTCCTTCGCTCAGCAGGCGAGAAATTCATCTACCCGGTAGTTTTCCCTAAGGGGCAATTGGCTTTTCTGATATATACTTAGCATTCTTGACTATTTTTATGTTGATGGTCGCACGATTAGATTTAAGACGTCGGCTTTGAGTTTTTCATTTAAACGCAGCATTCAGAAGTATTCTGCTATAATATTCGGCACTCGCAATCAGGAAAGTATTTGACTAGCGAAATAGCAAAAGGGATAGAACATTATGACTGTTTGATGGATGATAAATCCATTACCCTTTGGACCAAAGATTATATAGAAAAATTTGTATATTACTAAAAAGGATTGATCAACAGCTTTTTTTTATTTTACATCGCGCAAGACACATTTAATAAACATAGGCCCTTTCTAGCTTGTTCTTGATCAACCCAATCACGGTTGAACCTACAATCCCTTATATCCCAATATTCAGATGTAGCCAAACAGAAGACACCGATAAATCTGAGTTTAAAAAGCTAACAGTTTGGCCTTTGCCTGGTTGGCAAACACGATGCACATATTTTGTAATAAACCCAGATTGATACTTCATCGAACTGGAAGCGGCAACATAAATTCGTTTTTTAACTTAAAAACACAATAATGAAAAACGGGCAATATTTATTGGTCCCAGCTGCGATTTCAAGGGTAAGCGTTGCCATCTTGAAAGCAACATGCTGTTTTCTGATAAGCACACTTGTTAGCTAAAACTGAATTTTTTAAGAATGAATTTTAACGGAAAACTGAATTTACTTATATGATTCTTTATTGTACATGCAACAAAAGATTGAGCATTTTGTGTTTTCTTCCCTGAATTAGGTCAGCTTTTTGGTGAGTGCAAACAGGTCTATCACTACGGCCTACAACATTACTTCCGCAGTTACTACAACATTATGGACTGGGCTTCTGTTTCGCTCTATCTTGGCGCCTTCACTTTGCGTATCCTTGTTGACATTAAAGTCTCCGCAACGGAGATGGTGTTTCGTCCTCGCCTTATATACGCCCAGTCGCTGCTACAAAATGCCAGCGACCTCCTCACCGACTTCGATGCCTCCTCCCACGAACTAACTCAGGGCCTACACCAGCAAACCCATTACATTGGTTATCGCAATGCCTTGCTTAGAGAGGATTCGGCCTACTGGTTAAGGGGCTGTGAGTATGCATTCTTATCTGATTTACATTTGGAAGGAAACTTACTGCTGTTTGTCTGATTTGTGAAAATTTACTTAGCCGTCCACTACAGTTTACATACATAACCGAACCTTTACTCGCGATGACTAGAATAGTCCAATAATGCCTAATTGTATAAAATCGGCAACTCTATATTAACTCCAGATTATACCTATATAATCTGTAAATTACTACTCTATCAACTATTTAGAGGTGATATAAAGTAAATATAGAGTCGAAGATTACGTGCATTTCGGCACTATTGGCCTTCTTCGTTCCTATTGGTTGTACTTCTCATGTTAATTATCGCGCACAAATACTTGAATAGTTAAATAGTTACTCCAATTATTCCTTACTTTTGTACACTCTACGTGTATATTTATTTCTTATTTCTCTTGATATGCCCCACCTATGTAACCGTTATTGCCACATGCCCCCTATTGGAGAAGGCTGAGGTTTCTGTGTGCTGTTGTGAACCCACATTTAACTTCTGCTATCAGGCTTCTACAAGATGATTCCCCTGATGAATTGATAGTCGTCATCAAATTGTTGGGCTGCGTCAATAAAAGGCAGGCCTAGACAAACATTTCAATTTGGTTTTTTAGGCTAGGACGAACGCCATTAAACGTGGTTCCGAATAGGAAGATAGAGACAACTTTTGCATAAACGACTATGACGTTGATATTCAATTCTTTTGTAACTATTAACGTTTGAATTTCCTTAATTCTCCAACAATTCCACTTCTTGTGCCGTTTTGTTATGGGCGACTTTAGCGTATAAAACTTCATTACAATGCCTGGCGACATTTGTTTGATGGATTGATTAAAAGCTTGGCAAACAATAGGAATATGACAGAATTTTGACGTTGAGTTTCGTGACATATTCCAACATCTGAGGAAGCCGTTTCATATTTTTTGTTTGCAGGAGTAAGAAAGCTGGA